CATTCTCTACCCAGTCTGTATTTGTGCTTTATTTGTGCTGTATTTTGTGCATATCTCTATGCACTGTAATCTACAGTATAACAGAAGAACTTTTTTCCCCATTCCTGCCATGCTTTCAGGCCTCTAAAGTCCCAGCCCTTATTGCTTAGACTGCCAATCACTGTTCTCTCCAGAAACTAGTCTCCCTCCTTAAGCTTCTGCACAGTGAGATACCAGCATGTTCCTCCCTGTTCTCTGTCCACTCGTCTGCAGACATCAACTACTGACTCAGGCAAGGAGGTCTGCACTTGCTCTTGAATATCCCTGAGCCAAACAAGGATGGAAAGGATTCCTTAGCTCTCAGCGTAAAACACTTCAGTCACCTACAGTTCTGTGTTAACAAGCTATTTTGCTTTTTCTGACTTATTCAGATATTATAATATGAATTTGTATTAAATACAGTTGGGGAAAATGTTTCATTTTAATGTCACTTAATTTGCAGCATTGAACTTCAATGCTAACAGAGAGCAAACTTAGGCCTGTGCTGTTCAGCTTCCTGAAGGTAAGCTATCAACAGGCAAATTGACACTGCCTCAAGTTAGGGACATGCTAAAGTATCATGCTGAGTCAAGGTCATTCTTGATGTAAGCCCATAATGGGCAGAGGGAGACTCTGCTATCTGATAGCAAACAAAACCTTTAATTGTTACATAATAGGTATTAAGGGCTCCTAGTAATGTGAAACCCCAAATGACATGAGTTCAATCGTATTAGCATTGCTCCAAGTTTCATCCGTCAAACATGAACATGGAAATTTAATGACCCATGTTCAAAGGAGATGGAAAAGGGAGGACAGGCACAGGTTGGGAGCACAGCTTGGGACAGACCCCTGTGCCTGTCAGCAATGTAACATCAAGCCAGGTACGACAGAAAACTTCTGACCCTTCCCATTCCTTCCTCTGACTTGCTCATGTCCTTGTGTTGTGATACAACTGTCACGGTCCCCACACACGCTTCCCATCAGGCCTGATCAGGTACCAGCAGTTCAAGCCACAGGACCACATTATGCTTAGACCTGGCAATGTCTGAACACTACCTATTCTGGGCAGGCTGTGATTGCAGAATGAAGGAGGGGATGTGACAACAGCCTGCAAGAAAGCTTTGCTACTGCCGTTACAGTACTGCCCCACATACTGTTAGAGACACACACTGGGTGCTTGCTTGTGATAGGTACAATAATATCCATACCTTGTATGATACCGGCTCCACCTTTGGCTTCTTAACAGGAGCATGCTGCACAGCGTCTTTTTTATCTGATAAAACTGAATAAAAAAAAGAAAAACAAAGTCATGGTTCTTTTCCCTGCAAAAATAGCACTCCTATTCCACTTATATTTGACTGACAGTTAAGACATTGCTTGCTTTATTGTAAATCACATAGATTTTAAAGACTAGTTTCGGACAATCAATACCTAAGACTTTGTTGTGCAGATACAGACAAAATAGGAAATGTCCTTACAAGGCAGTTCTCTTTTTGTAGTGTTTTTCTTCCTTCTGATTGGAAACTCATCAATTTTTAGTTCACCATCATCTGACACATATTCATATTCATCTCGTACAGGTTTTGCTTTGTCTTCTTTAAAATTCTGCAGTGACCCAAACACACTAGTATTCAGCTGGGTTTTGACTCCCTTTGAACTGAAAAAATAAATTACAAATCAATAACAACACTCTGACTGGAAAACATTTTGTGAATTGACAGAGAAGAAGACAATGAGTACATTTATGCAGAAATCTCAGTCAACTTGAATACTTTCAGAGGTGCCACAGCAATTCAAATAATTTTACAAACACATTTCCGAACCAACAATTTATATGTCAAAATATGATGCCGATTACAGTAGCCTTGGCTGGCTTCAAATAAGTGTCATATTGTTTAAAGCTGTCTCAAAGTATATCAAGATATGCATAATGCACATGCAGCATGGAATCTGGTATGCAGAGTTAATTTAAAAGTTTCTTAAAAATGTACCCTGAATAGGATCTGCCCAAAACCTACTGAATATAACTCAACTAGTAAGAACCTGAAAGGCCAAAACATCAGATACAGCCTGAATACTGAAGACACTATTCTCAAGCGAACTACCAGCCTCAAAGATAGGTCTTTGCTGTTAGGGCAAACTAAGCTGGGTTCTAGGTAAAAGCAACTTCTAGAGCAAAGAACTTTTTGTATAAGTGTATTTTCTACATTGACCAGAAAGGCAGATTTTCACCTTCTTGTATAAAAAAACATAAATAATGACTTTTTAATTTGCTTTTTTTAGTTGACTTGTATTGTCGTATTTTTTACTTACCCAAGCAACTTCTTATTAGAGAAAGAGAATGTAAATTTGTTGTCCTTATTTCCTGATAAAGGCGTCTTTTCTGATTTGTGTTCCTCTTCCATTTTCAGAAGTGAATCAGGTTTACTGTTCTGAAAGGCAAAAGACCCAAACCAAAACAATAAAATGAGTTAAATGAGTTGGTGATATTTCAGATGCCTAGGTAACCTCAGAGAATCCATTGATCTATATGCAGAGAAAAATACGTTCCCCCAAATGCGGTAAGCAATAGAGGATTATACTCTCTTCCATAGACTACCATGGGTTTCAGTTCAGGGACTTGTCCCAATTCAAGAAGCACTTCAGCACCAGTTTAAGCAGTGTCTACCACAAATAGGATGCCAAATTTAAATATTTCTCTCTTAAATTGGTATGGACTGAGGTAAAAATACTAAACACACATTTTGTGAGTCAGAGCACAGCCTAAGCACGCTGCTCATCAGGTTTGTGCCTGTGTGGCTAAGGACACAATCTAGCACTGTGTCTGTAACGTCACAAATACAACTGCATTTTATTCCTAAGCTCCACTTGCTTCTTTCACACCTTCAGAAGAGCTTGAATTACGAATTTAATAATTTAATATCAAAGTCATTCAGTGCAACGGAAGCCTTTGATATTTTTTAAGCATCTCCTTAATACTTTCCTAAGCCGTATTGACTGCGGAATTAATTGGTACATACTGATCTAATCACATTAACCATGACTTTTTTTAACACAAAAAATATCGATGTCTCTAATGTTAATGACTCATGATTCTTAGTAGTTTCCCCACGTGAAAAAGCATGTAGTTTTGTTTTGTTTCAGGGAATTTGTTTGCACCTTTGTCATTAGAAGTTCACAAAGCAGGCAAAATTCAAACAGCTATTTCTGTGAGAAAACCTAGTGTCACCTCATTTTAAATAATACCTGGAGAAAAAATGTATTAGTCTATGAATGAATTTTACTCACCCTACATTAGCCCTCCAGGAAGGCAAGCTTTTAACTCATGTGGCATAATTCAGACTTTATTAACTCTACTTTTATGCAAACATGAGTTATTGATTTCTTTGGAACTACCCCAGACTTAAAGTACTATGACTGTGTTAAAAGTAAGAATCGCAAAAGACATCAGCACTGAAAAATCTCACTATTAACAGTGTCCCCACTGGCTTCACCAAGGATGAAGATGGACAATTCAGCATATGCTTTTGAAGAATCCGCCCCAGCCCCCCCCCTTATCATTGATTACTTGATTATTTTCTGCTCAAAATTTTTTCTTTGGGAACTGAAAATCGGTGCCTCATACTCTCTGCTTAGGTAGAACTATGAACATTTCTCCACCCTTGAATTATCACTATGTGGCAGAATCAGCAGCAGAATTTAACAGGAGACATTACCTTGTATTTCCATTTGGCTTCTGTTTTGCTTTTATTTTGCTCTCGAACTTCAAATTTCTCCACCTCATTCTGCTTACTAGCAGTTTCCTTATTGGGAACACTTAAAACATTCTTTGCAGCCTGGGGAAAAAGTCAGCAAGTACTCTTAATGAGGATGGAGTGCTGGCATGTTACAGAAACACATTTTTTTATCTGGAATATAACATGATATATTTTTGAAAACTCCTCTTCTGATTTATTCTTTTGGAACCCAAATATAAGATTCAATCAAATATTGCTGCTTCACAGAATGCAGAAGACTAGCTGCATTTCTTGAGGGGAGATCTTATCGCCCTCTACAACTACCTGAAAGGAGGTTGTAGCGAGGCAGGAGTTGGTCTCTTCTCCCTGGTAACTAGCGATAGGACAAGAGGAAACGATCTCAAGTTGCGCCAGGAGAGGTTCAGGCTCGACATTAGAAAGAACTTCTTCACTGTTAGCGTTGTTAGGCATTGGAATGGGCTCCCCAGGGAGGTGGTGGCGTCACCATCCCTGGAGGTGTTCAAAAAAAACGTTTAGATGTGGTGCTTCAAGACATGGTTTAGCGGGCATGGTGGCATCAGGTATACGGTTGGACTTGGTGATCTTTGAGGTCTCTTCCAACCATAATGATTCTATGATTCTATGATTCTATGATTCTTCGTGATATACCAACATACAAGAGCACTGTAAAACCATGCTAATCTCCCTGCCTATTGCTGCACAGATAGGTTTCGCAAACCACATACAAACTAGTAGGAAATTCAGAAGCATTTTAGAAAAGATTTATGGATGCTTCTTAACAAACAGTGTACAATACATTACTCTGTCAGTGCCTCAATGAAATCCTGGCCCCTACTGAAGTCAGTAGCAAAATTCACATCAAGGAATCAAAAATGATATCAAAATGAAACTTGTCCTACATGGGCAAAAATGGAAGCAAACTATGGTTTTCTTCTCAATCACTCATTCTAGAGCAAAATCTCATGCAAATAAGATGCTTTAGAAATTAGTTCCTTCATCTTTGATAACTGATTATGGAAATGCACGAGTGCTAATAACACTTGAAATAAGAATATAATAGTTCAAGGGGAAAAAAAAAGCCATTAAAAATGTCTCTTAATTTTCATCTCGCCTCAGTTTGGGCAGGCAACTGGCAGTAGTTTGCCAGACTCAGCTTGAATCAATAGGTTTCTTGGAGGCTCCATATCAAATGAACAACCAAGCAAACAGTCAAATCAAATCGAACAGTCAGCTGAAAAAAGGGCAATAAGCTAGTAGTTACAAAGCTTTCATTTACTTCAGTGGAGACAAGGTTTCACACTGTGTTGCCTAAATTATTTTTTTCATGGGACCTAAGGAGTGATTTTGTCCCTATTATGGTGAGAGAACAGGGAAAGGTTAAAATATGACCCACCTTCCCCTTCTTTGGCGTCTCGATCTTTGTCAAAGCCTCCTTTGTGTGTGCCTCCAGCAAGTCGAGATTCGGGATGGCTGGCGGTGGACTCTCTTTTGCCTTCTTTCCTTTCTTTTTTCCTTCTCCCTTAACTTTTGGTGTTTTGGGAGGCTTAGGGGGTTTGGGTGGCTTGGGAGGTTTGGGGGGTTTGGATGGCTTGAGTTGTTTGGGGGTTTTCACAGTTTTAGGAGTCTTTTTTTTAGGGAGCTTTTCTACAGGTGGGGACGGAGGCGTCACTTGGACGGGTGATGGTGCCTCCTCCTTCTCCACAGGGCAGATCTCCTCGGCATTTGTGTTGGCACTCGTGTCTGCTTTGCTGGCCTTCGAAGCATTCTGTAGTTTAGCACAAAATGGGAAGGCATTCAGACCCACCATTAGATATTCACCTGTACTCTCCCTTCCTTGGGGAAACAAACCCCAAAGATCCCCAATTCAATAACAAGGTAACTGCATTCACAGGTCAGGCTGGCCAGGGAATGAAGACCACATCACATGCCACACTAACGCTCTGCTCGCCACTAATTCCCGCCTCCACATTGCTCAAGAACAAGTTTGGCCTGGAGAAACTCCAGTGGCTTTGTAAGGAATGTAACTCTCACCAGGTTATATCACCAGGTAGAACTCTTAAATGGACTGCCCATACAAACAACTGTATAAAATGAACGGTCTTTTGTTTAAAATGCTAATCAGCTTCAGCACAAACCATTTCGATTTAATTCAGATGTGATAAACATAGCAAAATCATGTTTCATGCCCTCAGGAAAATAAGCAGTAAAATAGCTGCCCAATTAAAATTAACACTGTCTGACTAATTAAAAAGAAATTATTTTCTGCTTAACTTGCCATTCTGCCAATCAGAAAATTTATATACTACATCAAAGAGGATAAAAGGACAAGATAGATTTCGATTTTGAGGTCTTTGGATATAGTTAGAAAGAGCGTGGCATGTAACACAATGCCTTCTTAAAACAACTGAATTAGCTATTGTCACCTTGCACTGTCACACATCACCACTAAGTGGAATATTATACCTGACTTAATGGATGATACCTCCATGCAACCTCCTTTTTTTTGTTG